TAGCCTGAGGCCAGGTAGGGGGTCAGTTACCTACGGTCACTCAGAAAACAGAAATGCGCTAAGCTAAAACTTAAATAACTCGGTCATTTATCAACCAAACTTGAAAATTGCAGGGGACATGTAAGAGCACTAAAACTAACTAATTATGACCGAGCTTGGCCCCCAGGAGGTGCCATTACTTAACAAAAAAAATTTAGGCTGAGTGACATGGCCTACATTACAAACCACAAAAAAAAACACTTTTACAGGGGACAGAGGGACAAAATTTACATTAAACAACATGTAGGCCACAATAACAAGACAAAATTGAGCACAAACTAGGCCTTAGGCCTAATAATAAATTAACAGGGACACAGAACAAACGGACCCTAGCCCGCACAAAAGTGAGTTTCAAAAGCAGTTTTCTTGGATAATATCTGGCCTAGAGTCTCGGGGAAAGCTTTGAAAACTTGGCAACAACAAAAACTACTAAACTAACCAGAAAAACTTGTGGTCTGACCACACAAAGCTTGGCCAAAGGCCCAACAAAACTCTGTTCAATTTCAGGCTCAGAAATGGGTCTAGCGCCTTGAAAAACAAGTAATTGGTAATTAAAAGTAATTCCAATGCACAGAAGGTGCTTAATACTTGTTTTTCACTAGCCAAAACCCACTCAAAGCCTGCTCAACATGTGGCTGAAGGCCAAAACTAATTCAGAAACATTTTAACCTAAAACAATCAAAATAAATCAATCAACTTACTCATCTGACGACTGGCAAAACACTTAAATCATGACTTGAATTGACGACGAACAGAAGAACAAAATTAACAGTGACATTGAAGGATGAACACTGATATTCATCGAAGATAACCAAGTCTTGACAAATCGACAATCGCCGGCCTTCTGGTGAAAATGTGACAGAAGGCGGACATTGACTCTGGGTTGCAGGATTGCTGCCCGACCCAAACCGACTGAGTTCCGGCGCAAAGCCAGTACACGCACTATACAAAAAACACTGAGGCGTGACATTGGTGGGACGCTTGGTGGACATGTCACGGCTCAATAGTGTTAAGCATAAGTTAAAAAAAGTTGCGTTTGAATCTGATAGTGTCAACACCAGAACCTATGAGCGCTGCTGGTTGCAATGTAAACAATTCAGTTGTAGCATGATCAGCTAATAGCAACAATGTAGCGCTGTCAGTTCACTCTCCTACCCTCGCCACATCTGGCCTAGCCCGACAGACAGTGACAGTAGGGCTCCTAAATTCCGGCATTGACACTAGCAGATTCAAACGCAAGTTTTTTTGGCTCAGTGAGAGTTCTGGATTAGGTCCTTATCCTATATATGGTATCACGGTAAATTTTGCTTTTAATTTGTAGCGTGGATTTAACCATTTTCAATTTGTTCCGCCCTCTATTTTAAGTTATCATGGAATTTGACAAAGAACATTCATGGATGTGTTTGGATTAATTTATAATAATATTGTCACGATCAAGTTTAAAATACATTAAACTAGCTGTACCCGCGGGCTTTGCCCCGTTTAACTTCATAAGTATTCGCATGGCTCATTCACGTCCTGGTTGAAGTTCGTTCGCTACGCTCACTCACCTTTAGGTTGGAGCTCGTTCGCTGCGCTCACGCTAACTCGCCTCCAGGTTGAAGTTCGTTCGCTACGCTCACTCACCTTTTGGTTGGAAATTAGCTGTTGTCGTAAATTTAAAAAAAATAATAGTGCTGCAACCTGTTGGTAATCCTTGTAACTTTTATGCTATTGAACATCATAGAACAGAACCAACTTGTTTAATTGAAACAGCTGTTAAGATTCATTAATTACTTTTAAATATGAAAAACCATAAGGTTAACATGGGGAACTACAGAGCCACTGGGGCGGAGCCCGAAAGCATTTTTGGGATAATAATATGCTTTAATGTTAATCGGGAATGTGAGCTATCATCATGCCAAATTTCAGCCCAATCCGTCCAGTAGTTTATGCGTGATTGAGCAACACACACACACACACAAACTCACAAACTTTCAGATTTATAATATTAGTAAGATAAGATTATCAGTTGTTCAGCTATGTAGGCATTGGAAAGTGGTAATTTAGGTAAGATTAAGATTTTTTATTTGAAAATCTGCTTGAACCAGGTAATTCAGTCTTGAGCTCCTGTTATGGTAGCCTATATGTAGTTTACGTCAATTTTTATTCAAAATTTACTGTTCAGGGGCCTATTGCATAAAACTACAAGTACAAGTTTACATATTTACAGTTTTATACTACACTCCTGCTTTTGTTTTACAAATACTCCTCCTGAATGGCTGAAGCGATCTGTACCAAATTTAGCACAATCATAGTAACCAACCATGGGAAGGTATAAATCTGAAATGGTACAAATCGGACCACAGGGCTTTTCCCTACGTGAATTTAAAATTTTTGAAATTTAACATGGGCCTTATGGGTTAATTGGTTGCCATGGCATTATTTGCGAGATAATAAAAATAAGAGTCGCAACATATGTTAGTCAACGAATCATCGAAATAGTGCATTAAAAATACCGTACAGAGAAAAAGGGAAGAACGATAGGATTAATATCATTGAGCATAATTTATTACAAAATGAATAACCAATAATTAGTGTCGCCAGAATAAGGCTGATGCACCATTAACTTTAATCCAAATAGCCATTCCATTTACGTGAACCAAATATATAGGCCTACAATTGAGTTTGTATACTGCAAATAGACATTCCATTGACGTGAACCAGACGTACCATTGACTTATAGCAGTGGATATAGCAGTTAGGCACTTCATTTATATGAATTAAATGAACCATTGCTTTGGATCCAGACTTATAATTGACTTTGAATACTGCAAATAAATAGATTATTGACATTGGATACTGCAAGTATTTAAAGTCATTTACGAGAAACAGATCTATCGTTGACTTTAGAAAAGTATTGGATTAATATGCTAGCTCCGCTCAATAATGCAAGCAGACAACTGCATTGTACACCTAGTTACAATTAATCAATTACAGGTGTTGCTAGAATAATTTGTATACTTGTAAGAACAAGTACAAAAAATGTTAACAGCTGATTACAATTTTACAATAAAATTACACATACGTCTTCGAATTTCCCATATAGGGAATAAGCTATTACCGTAGGTCTTATGGTAAGACCTAGACCCGGGAACGATTTACTTTTTCGATTTGATGCCAAAAACACCATCCGACCAAATTCATATACATTTGTGTGTGTGTGTGTGTGTCCGTTAGCGCGATAACTCGAGCAAAAATGATTTGATTTTGATGAAATTTGGTACAAACGTGTAACCTTCGTTTATTCGTACGAGTTCGCGAACCAGCATGATCGGACCAAGGGAACTGGGTTTTATGGGGTAAAAAATGGTTTTCTAATTTTTGACCCTCAAAACACAAAATTTCCCAATTTCTCTTCAGACCTTTTTAAAGATTTTAAAAAACAAATAATTTAGTTACCGGTAATCAAAGTATTTTTGTACGGTTATTGGAAACGGAGAAAATTAAAAAAAACTTTAAATTTTTCTAACTCCCATGTTATTCTTATGGAGAATATTGTAAAATGTTGTTGTTTGCTTGGTTATTGATATCTTTTGATCAAACTTGGCAAACTTATTTATTTTATACCAAGCTATAATTATTTTACTGAAAAATACACTATTAGTTGCCTTGTAGCAGCAAACCTACGTACTCGTTAAGCCTAATGTTATTTAAATAGATTTAGGTTAATTGAAAATCAATTCAGACAAATGGAAATTCGCTTAGTCGGCAGGGTTGCTGCAGCGGGGGTATTTATAGTTAGTGGATAGTCTATTAAATTAATGTTAATCAATAGTTAACTAATTAATTTAGTGATCATCATAATGCTATATTCCTTACTAGCTGTAACCCCGCGGGCTTTGCCCCGTTTAACTTCTTAATTTTAAAGATTATCTCGTTCGCATGGCTCAATCACGTCCTGGTTGAAGTTTGTTCGCTACGCTCACTCACCTTTAGGTTGGAGCTCGTTCGCTACGCTCACTCACCTTTAGGTTGGAGCTCGTTCGCTGCGCTCACTTGCCTTCAGGTTAGCTCGTTCGCTACGCTAACTCGATCGCCTCCAGGTTGAAGTTCGTTCGCTCCGCTCACTCACCTTTTGGTTGCAAATTAGCTGTTGTCATAAATGTAAAAGAAATAATAGTGCTGCACCCTGTTGGTAATCCTTGGAACTTTAATGCTATTGAACATCATAGAACAGAACCAACTTGTTTAGTTGAAACAGCTGTTAAGATTCAATAATTCCATTTCTCATAAGGTTAACATGGGAAACTCCAGAGCCACTGGGGCGGAGCCCGAAAGGATTTTTGAAATAAGAATATGCCTATATGTTAATCGGGAATGTGAGCTATCATCATGCCAAATTTCAGCCCAATCCGACCAGTATTTTTCGCGTTCACTTGTCACAAACATACATCCATACATCCATACATCCATACATCCAAACTTTCTCATTTATAATATTAGTAGGATTTGACTATGTCATCTTCACTTACTATAACATTATAAAAATATTACAGTTGTTTAGTTTTAAGTTCCAGTTTGAAGGTCCTTCTTCGGCGTTGTGGATCAGAAGAATCATCACTATTCCACATCTTTGTCTTAAAAAAGAATAACTTGTACAATAGCAACAAAGGTTTACAGGCCAAAGAAGCTAGGTAAAAAATTCTTACATTTTTACAGGTATATGTAAAATTGCAATAACTTTATTGTAAATACAAGTTTACACACCTGTAAAATTGTTAAAAATGCCTGTAAATTTGGGTTTTTGAGTAGTTGTTACAAGTCTGTAACTTGTAGTTCTTGCAACACCTGTAATTACAATTTCTGAAGAATTCTTCAGAAATTTGCCTGTAAACTTGTAAAATTGTAAAATTGTAGTTTTATGCAATAGGGCCCTGGTAGCCTATATGTGGAATAAAAATCAATTTTGAACCATTTAGGTTCGGTCGACCTAAGATGACAACCAATGAGAAGATTTTCCTTGCTAGTATGTTCTACCCTCTGTTTGCAATTGCAACACAGCTTAGTCCGGAGCCAAAAAGCTCGGGAATAGAAGTGCTAGAGGCAGATACATTCAAACTACACTGCTTCCAGACACTCACAGGCAAGTAGCAGAAGTTATTAGATTAATTTTACTGAAGCACCAAAACAGTTTGAGAAAATCTAATTTTTTTCCATTCCAACCTAATAGCAGAATCATCTGCAAGAGAAGATACAATATTTTTAAAGTGTAACTTAGTTTGGACCGACAAAATTACTGATACAATTTTTGTCAGACTATGGGTAGGCCTGCTGTTTTTGTTGTGAATCTATGATTTTTGACTACGTAGAGAACTTAACTTTTTACTCCTATATTAAAGCTGAGCCAGTTTTACAACAGAAGTAGGATATAATTGAAATGGGCCACCGATAGAGTGTGCTCATGTAAATTACCTATCTGTTAAATTTGTCAACTATTTTAACCAAGCCAAACTGGAAGAACAACTTATTGCAAACTATAGCAAATGTGTCTAAACTATACAGGTCATATTATGGATCCTTGCTATCTTCTCTTTGTATTTTTCTTTCGTTTGATTAGTGTGCTTTTAGCATTCATAGCAGGATGCAGGATGGTTGGTGAGAATGTGTGTTTGACCCCATATCTGTATTACAGCTCGTGTCAAATAAACTGGCACTTGGACTAGCTTGGGCGTTGTAGACGAGGTGTGGGTGGAAGTAAGGAAAAGACTGTACTGAAAATATTCCTGCTGACTCACGGGGTTGACACTCCGTGTTTCACATACTGAGTGCCTTCAGGAGGGTCTCGAGGACAGTTGACAAAACCCGCATGACGGCAGGTGGTGTTTTTGAACTAGATGCTAATAGCGTTTAGTCAAGTGCCAGCTTTGGTGTCACGAGCTGTACCTTAATATTTCACATTAACTTACTCTATTATTTTTTTCTTTTAACACATTGAGTGTGAGGGATGGCAAATCCCGCCCTGCGGTTGCGCCACCACTGGTGCGGAGCCGGAAATGTTGTCCTCCTCCCATAACAACAGCCTTACCTTGCTTCAGTGTGAGCTCCGATTTCCGAGTTTTTTACAAGTGTTGCTTCAGTTTTTGGCGAGCTTCATTTCTGTGTCGGCCATTCCGATCTTTTTCGGTGCTTCGTGTTTGTGTCAAATATATTGTGGGGAGTGTTACCTAAGTACCTTTTTGTAATATCAAAAGGTTTTAGTTATAGTTTTTATTATTTCCATAAAAAATGAAAGTATATGTCTTATAATATAAAAACTTGTTACTTTGTAACATTTACTTGCCACATAGAAGTAAGGTACACAGGAAACATGCTGCGGGACAACAGTGTCCTTTCAGCTCTGGTATGTTAGGCGGAAATGAACTTGTGTGCAAGGTAGAGCCTGAATGATGAGCACTGTGTGGAAATTCATATATCACAGGGGTCCAGGGTCTTCCTCCACTGTGAGCGTTGTAGTACATAAGGGGGAGGGGGACGGTGCGGGACTTTTCTCTAGACACCAGCACCAGTGCTAGACACCACTTAAGTGTACTGTGGAGTGAGTTCTCTGTTGCTTACTTCTCTGTGTATATGCATGATTAATTTATCTATGATTTTACAGGAGTTAAGTTTATGGTGGTTGCTGAGCCTACTCAGACAGGAGTAGAGTCTTTGTTGAAGAAAATCTATGAACTCTATGCCGATTACGCTCTCAAGAATCCGTTTTACTCTCTGGAAATGCCAATTCGGTGTGAACTGTTTGATACTAACCTTCAGGCTTTATTAGAGCAGATGGAAAAGTCTGGAATTAGTAACGTATAAGTTGTAAGTTAATGTATTGTTATTCTATATCTTGCCATTTATTGGAGTCCTTCCGGTCTTAAGCCCCTGTCACACGGAGCTGGTTTTTTCACCGCTAGTAACTAGCAGCTAGAACCAGCATAAAACCTGCATCGTGTGACTGATTCTCCAGCTGCTAGAAGCACTCGCATGCGCTGGTATCTCTAGCCGCTGGAGGGTTTAAACAGTTTAATATTACAAGCGCTTGAAGAGTCACTAACAGGCCATGTGACCACCCAGGCACCCAGCTGTGGTCTCTAGCGCCTTTCCAGCTCCATCTGACAAAGAAAATAATTTAAATGAATTTAATACATTAATCTAGTCAAGAACAAATTTAAAACTTCATGTTTAGAATTTTTTTCATAATTGCCATAATTTTCTTGTTGTAACAATTGCTACATCTCACCTTTATAAACTAAATTAATGTTTTTTTTTTGTGTTGCTGAAAGATAAAGAACTTTTGTTATAGGCCTACCACAACTTATTCGTTTTTAAATTTGTTAATTTACAAGCCCATAATAAATACAAAATAATACTGTTTATATATTAACATTTCATTTTTTGCATTTCACTCCTTTACTTCTCTGGTGGCTTATCAGAATGGACTTATCAGCAATGGCTTGTCACAAAACATCGCTTCTAATACCAACAGATGACATTATTTCTGTTAACCACAACTCACATTCCCAATTACATCATCAGACATGTATAAGTTGTAGCGCTAGTTCTCCAGCTTCGTCTGACTGGACTTCTATCGCGCTGGAGACCTAGCAACTAAAGCTGCTGGATCTCGCAGTGAGAACTAGCTGCTAAAACAAGCTCCGTGTGACAGGGGCTTTAGTCATGATGAGGTTTGAAAATGTATCTAAGATGTTATAGGGAAACTTTAGGTCACTTTCAGCTATGATTGTGACATTAGTAGTGTATTTGTTAGAGCTTACCACCTATTTTATTAAGAATATGTTTTCAATCACTTTTAAAATCAAAGTTTGCTCCCCTTGAAGCAACGACACAACAAGGGCATTTTTATGGATAGCATGTGCTCAAATAACAAAATTACTGAAAAAAAATTTCAAAGTTTTCGGCTTAATATGAATATTCGGCAAACTAACATGTTTTATTTTCGTTAAACTCTGACCCCGTAGCTCCTTGGCCTGCTTCGCCCATCTCTGTTGCTCTACATAGTTTGAGAATCTTCTCCAGACTCAGGTCCACCACTATCTCAGCAGCATCCTTTCTTGAAGCCCTTTGTCCCAAAACTTGTACGAGTTTATCATTCTCTTCTCGTCAAATCGTTCAGAAAGTTTGTGAAAGGCTCACCCTGTCCTTGGCTCCTCATACTGAACTCGAATCTCTCCATAACGACATTGCTATTGGGACTGGCATAGTCTTCGAATGCACTTATGACTTTATCAAAGTCCTTCTTATATTCTTCTGATAAATCTAACATATAGAAAAGATCAACTTCTTCCCCTGTTAGGTTAAGCAGCATGGCACACTTTATTTCAGAGCTCTTGGTTTTGTGCATTCATGAAAATGGCGAAGCTCTGATTAAATCTCTTAAATAAAGTTACTTAGGAACATAGGATTAGAGAGTCTGACCCCCATTTTACGTCCTAAGTCCGTAATTTTACTTTTGATATAACTTTTACTTATAATTTGATTATCCTTGTGATCTTAGGTATTACAAGTAAAACTTTTAATCTACTTAACTCCTTGCCTACTAAATCTACATTTTAATCTTTCGCAATCACATGGTTTTTAGAAACCTAAATACACGCATAGTGGCGTCCCCATCTTAACATGTTCGCTACTGCAATAGTACGAAATTTTCCATTCACATGGACCAGCGACGCACATATGCGACGGCCGGTTTCCACCCATAGACTGCTGTCGCATATATGCGACGGCTAGTCACATTAAAATAGACTGCCGACGCATATTTGCGTCGGGGTTCTAATGTTATTAAAATGCTTATATCTTTGTAGTGGTCTATTTGAAGACACTGAATACCCTGCAGTGGTCTACAGAGATGTCTGACGCACAACTGCGTCGCTTGGTCTGTGGATATGATGATTGGTGACGTCATATAATAGTTGGAAAATCTGGTCTTTACTTTTTTGCAACACTGTATGTATGTATGCGGTATGTATGCTGCATTATCCTATGTAGCTTTTATATTTGTTCAGTTATAAACTGTTCTTGAATAATCTGTTTATTTTTTACTTACTTTTACCTTAAAACACCAAAAAATGAACTGTCGCATATATGCGACGTTTAGTCTATTTTAAGAAAACTGTGATAATTTTCACTATTGTCTTCGCTGTAGACCGGGCGTCGCAAATATGCGACATTACAAAAGGTTTTAAAAAATACAAAGAAACAAGAATAATTTATTCACAAACACGATTGTAGCGTATTACAATGTAAATGATCACTGTTTTACAGGTTTTCGCCCGTGGTCTGTGTGTACTGTTATCCAAGTGACAGCCGGTCTATGTGTAAGATTCAAATGTATACCTCGGTCTGTGGCAATGACCGCGGCGTCGCATATATGCGACGCTCAGTAGCGAACGTGTTAAATAATTGATAATTGATTGATTGATTGGTTAATATGGGAAACTCCAGAGCCAATGGGGTGGAGCCTGAAAGGATTTTTGAGATTAGAATATGTTTATATGTTAATTGGGAATGTGAGCTATCATCATGCAAAATTTCAGCCTAATACGACCAGTAAATGCGTGATTGAACCCCAAACAAACACACACAACTTTCACATTTATAATATTAGTATGATAATACAAAGAGTTTTATTTTTTCATATCCTAAATTTAGTTAGAAAATTGGTTATTTTTAGAATATCAAAATAGGCTAACTATTTGTGTCTTGTGAAGCAGCATGAAAAAAGGTAGGGAAACACACAACAGAACACTGATAATAAAATACTATTACGTATGGGTAGACGTTTATTAACAACTTTCAATTTATGTGGACATCCATGCCATTGTGTATGGCTGTGTTACGTGTTCACTCATCTACTTCCTTTGAAGTGTTGTTTATATTTTGTTCCTGCCCATTTTTTGACCTGTGACCCCATTTGTCTCGTTGCATCTTTAAGTTTTTCCACATCCAAGCGAGTTTCAGACTTTTTATAATCACGCTTGATTTGAGCTGCCTTTTCCTGAACAAATTCTATCATCCCCTGTGATTTCTCCTCAACCTTTTTTTGCATTTCTTTTGTTTCTTCCACGCCAGGTTTTACTACATTTTCTTTTAGAGTGGATCCAATTTGTTCTGTTGACGTTTTGATGGCTTGACCTAATCCATCTAAAGCTTCTTTAACGTCTTTCTTCAATTCATCTTTATCACACAGTACCTCTCCCAGCATTACTAGTCCTACCATCAGCAAGATATGAGCCTGTAAAGAAAAAAATACCAAATTAAGACTGCATACACAGCAAAAATACAGGGTGATTCACCTTAAGTGTTACAATAGGTAACTTGTTAGGCGTTTATTTTAGAGAGTACGTTACATTAACAACTTCCCTTATTTTTTTGTAACATTTTACGACATGCTATTTTTCATTTAACATTTTCCCGCAATTTTCCCTAATGCCGGACAACTTAATCAATGGCAACCTCCACTTTTTATGATATTTGTTGATTCTACGTAAAATTTTAAGACATTTTTACTCTTGTCATTGAGTCAAAATGAATTTCCATGAAGAAATAGACATGTTATTAATATTTGACTATTTGACTAAGAATATGCATTGACCACGAGGGTGGACACTTTGAACATTTATTATAAAAACACAACTATTGTATCAGTAAGTGTAAATTCTGTTTTGTAAATCATAAAGATAATCATTTTTGCTGCCATTATTTTCACCATGATTATGCGTGGCTTATTATGGCTACGTATCTCCGAAACGGTTGGGAATATCAAAAAAATTACAAGAGTAAAAATGTCTTAAACATTTACGTAGAATCCAAAAATATCATAAAAAGTGGGGTTTCTATTGAAAAAAATTAAGCTGTCAGCCATTTTGGAAAATGGCTGCAAAACTTTTAATAAAAAATAGTATGTCATAAAATGCTACAAAAAAATTTTGGAAGTTGTTCCTTTAAAGTTCTCTGTAAAATAAATGCCTAACAAACAAGTTACCTATTGTAACACTTTAGGTTAATCACCCTGTATACTGGGTGTCCCATAATAGTCCCCCCCCCCTCCGGGTTAATTTTTAAATTTCATTTTTATGGTATAGCCTCTGGATCACTTATTTAACAATAAAAGGTTTAAATTACCTGTATCCGTCAAGTGATCCTGGTTTGTAGTTGATTGACTACAGCCGTTTCATGTTGTAAAAACACATCTTCAGGTCAAACGTATATACATTGATTTAATTCATGGAATGGTCGTCAAGGTTTAAAGTTCACAAAAATAACACATACACGTACACGAAAACATTAAACATAAATTGGCCAACACAAAAATACGAAAAACGCGTGATAGGCATCGGACACGTACGGCGCCGCTAGAAGGTAGGTCATGACTGTCGTGTGCCGGAAGTGATAGCCCCCCACTATCAGCTGTTATCTATTGTGGTCTAAGATGCGTATGGCGGCATTGTAAACAATGTTCGACTCGAATGAGAGTTTTTCATTTAAGATGTTATCAGGCTGTTTTTTTGAAGCACGATAAATTTCAAATTCTTCTAATGTGTCCATGTATTTTCCTTTGTTACATAAATGGAGAACGTTGAGATTATTGTTTATATCTGTATAGTTGTGGTTGGAGTTAATCAAATGGTTGGAAAATGCCGACTTAGAGGAAATTTTAGGCAGGTGTTCTTTGAATCGGGTGGTAAATGATCGTACTTTACATTAAAAATTAACAATAAAAGGTTAACAACTAAGAAGCGAGATGACAAAAAGTAACATCGTTGTAGCATTCAAGACATCAAATAGACTTGACTCGATGCTAAAATCAAGATACCAACGAGAAGGGGCAGACAACAATTTCAATAAAACCGGAGTCTATAAATTGTCTTGCAACGACTGCCCGAGCTTCTACATAGGCCAGACGTCACGATCATTTACCACCCGATTCAAAGAACACCTGCCTAAAATTTCCTCTAAGTCGGCATTTTCCAACCATTTGATTAACTCCAACCACAACTATACAGATATAAACAATAATCTCAACGTTCTCCATTTATGTAACAAAGGAAAATACATGAACACATTAGAAGAATTTGAAATTTATCGTGCTTCAAAAAAACAGCCTGATAACATCTTAAATGAAAAACTCTCATTCGAGTCGAACATTGTTTACAATGCCGCCATACGCATCTTAGACCACAATAGATAACAGCTGATAGTGGGGGGCTATCACTTCCGGCACACGACAGTCATGACCTACCTTCTAGCGGCGCCGTACGTGTCCGATGCCTATCACGCGTTTTTCGTATTTTTGTGTTGGCCAATTTATGTTTAATGTTTTCGTGTACGTGTATGTGTTATTTTTGTGAACTTTAAACCTTGACGACCATTCCATGGATTAAATCAATGTATATACGTTTGACCTGAAGATGTGTTTTTACAACATGAAACGGCTGTAGTCAATCAACTACAAACCAGGATCACTTGACGGATACAGGTAATTTAAACCTTTTATTGTTAATTTTTAAATGGCTGCATATATTCAAACGAGCTTCGATACACGTTACTAGGGTAATGTAAAGTACTATTTAGGGTATTTTGAAATTCACCCCCCTCCCCCACTCAAATAGGGGTTGCGGGTGGCAACTTACAAATTTTAAATAGCAACCCCTATCAAGTAGCACATAATTTTAAAGGCTATTAGCTTAAAAGAATATTGGCAAAAACCAGAGGTCTCTATCTCAACCCAATACAGGATGGCGGCCATTTTTTTTCATCAACCTGAGGGAGTCTGTGTAAAAATTATACATCAATATCCTTGATTAGTTTTTTTTATGGATTGTACCAAGGAAGCTAAACTCATTATTATTGTAACAAGAAAGTTTTTTAACAGTATGGCAATTTTGCCTGGGACCCCATAATCGGGTATTTTGGGGGCAGCTCATAATATTTAAATATAAAACCCTATATGGTGTTAAAAAAGTCTCTCAGGAATCCGCCCCACTGGCTCTCAAAGTTTCAATGTAATCGTTATGGAAGCAGTATTTGACACATAAACAAAAACATATGATCAGCTGACTTTTGAATGCAGTAGATAAAGAAATAGCTGATAGCATTAATCCACAGATATTAGAACAGAAACGGTATGGATCATAAAAACTGTATAATCAAATGACGACAGTCTTGAGGTCCGTGATGTAGGAAGTGGTGAAGGAAGTAGTAAAGGTGAGCAGTCTGGAGTGTGGAAACTGTTTATGACGATTAGATTAAGGTATCTGCATTCCTAAAATTCTATGAGAAGGGAGGAAAACGGGTCCACGACGTAGGAAGTGGCGAAGGAAGTAGTCAAGGCGAGCTGTCCGGAGTGTGGGAACTGTTTATGAAGATTAGATGTAAGTATCTGCAATCCTAAAAGGCTATTGGAAGGGAGGGAAACAGGTCCGTAACATAGGAAGTGGCGAAGGAAGTAGTGAAGGCGAGTTGTTCGGAGACAGCAAGAATTTTGCCCCGATCGCGGAAGACGATAACTATGCTATTTTATAAAGCGATTTAATCCTATTTAATGTATATTTGAATGTAAAAATGGTGTTACCGTTGAAAGAATAAATAAATGATCTCCACATGACAGCGTCATATTATTCACATTTGGCCGCGATTTCGGGAGACGATTACGATATCTTCACGAGACGATTTCGATGTCTGCGGGAGATACAATGACTTCTATACAGCCGCGAGGGATGATCAAAAATATGCCGCGATCACGCAACACTATGATGGCCACACGACCGTGCAAAAAGATCAGAATTAGCCTCATTCGCGGAAGGCGATGATCTCCACATGGCCGCGGGAGATGATTACCATTTGGACACAATCGCGGGGGGTGATTAGTCCAAACGATTGCTTGGAAGATGCCTTCACGGCCGCGAGGGGATTTTATCGCAATCGCGCAAGACGATGGTGTCCCCACGATCGCGGTAAAAGATCAGAATTTTGCCTCATTTGCGGAAGACGATGATGATCTCCACAAGACCGCGAGTGATGATTACCGTTTTGCCGCAATCGCGGGAGGCAACTACTATGTCCACACGACCGCAGGGCAGCGGGGGATTATATAATGATGTCCTCAAGGCCGCGAGTGGTGGTCAGAATTTAACCGCTATCGTGCACGACGATGATAATGTCCACAAGACAGCGGGAAAAGATCAGAATGTTGCCTCGTTCGCGGTAGACGATGATAATCTCCTGATGACCGCGGGATATGTTCATATATTTCCGCGATCATGGAAGACGATAATTATGTCTACACAAGAGCGAAAAATAGTCAGAATTTTGCTGCAATCACGGGAGACAATTATTATGGTGTCTACACGGCCGTGAGGGATTATCAGAGATCGTATGCAAATACAACCACAAAATATTTTACTTCCCAATTTTTTTGCGCCCCCCAAAAAAGCCAATTGCCTCGCGCCCTAGGCACGTGCCTACCTTGCCTATTTGGTCAATCGGCCCTGGTACCTGCAATCCTAAAATGCTAAGGGAGGGGAGGGAAACAGGTCCGTGACGTAGGAAGTGGTTAAGGAAGTAGTAGAGGCGAGTTGTTCGGAGTGTGGGAACTGTTTATGACCATTAGATTAAGGTATCTGCAATCCTAAAATGCTATTGGAAGGGAGGGAAACAGGTCCGTGACGTAGGAAGTGGCGAAGGAAGTAGTGAAGGCGATCTGTCCGGAGTGTGGGAACTGTTTATGATGATTAGATTAAGGTATCTACAGTCTTAAAATTCTATAAGAGAAGGAAACAGGTCCGCGACGTAAGAAGAGGTGAAGGAAGTAGTAAGGTGAGCAGTGTTGAGTGCGGGAACTGGAAACCGTTTGTAGCAGTTAGATCAATGTATCTGCAATGCTGAAATGCTATGAGAAGGGATGGAAGCATGCTTACGACATAGAAAATGGTGAAAGAAGTAGTAAAGGCTAGCAGTGCGGAGTGTGGGCAATGTTTGTGGCAGTTAGACTAACGTATCTTAAATACTAAAATGCTATGGAAAGTGATGAAAACAGGTCCACGATGTAGGAAGTGGCTTAGGAAGTAGTAAAGTATGAGCATAGTGTGAGAACCGTCTGTGGCAGTTAGATTAATGTATCTTCAATCTTAAAATGTTATGAGAAGGGAAGGAAACAGGCCCCACGACGTGGGAAGTGGTGAAGGAAGTAGTAAAGGCCGGCAGTGCAGAGTGGGGAAACCGTTTGGGCAGTTA